ATAAATGGAGAGACTCTCCAACACTGCCAACAAGAAAATTCCAAAGGTGCGGATAGAATCGGTCTCCACACCTAGGAGTGGGGCAAAGGGCTCCTTTGGCTCTAAAGAACCAATTTGTGTTTCAAATATCTTTCAGGAACTTGACACCTTGAAACTCCCTACTCTCAGGGAATCTGAGTAAGTCCTAGAATCGCTTTCTTCAAGGAGAGCAGCAAGACTCTGTTAAAGCTCTCCCTGTTCACTCCCTAGGCCCCAGGCCTGGATGATGGGGTTCAGAACACCCCCCCCCGCCGCTGCCCTAAGGTCCAACATTGGCCAGCATCAGATGAGACATGACCTCCTTTATTACCTGGGTCTGCCAATGGACCTGGAAATCCTGCCTGGGGCAGGGGTGGGGGAGTCCCAGAAACCAAAGGAGCAGACAGGGACCACAGTGGGAAGAGAACAGGCTGAAGAAAGCAAGTGTCACTAAATGTCAGGTGTAAGCTTGAAAAATAAACACAAAGAATGTAAAATTCAGCAGAAGAAATTTAACACACCTTTGTGGTAGCCTGGGACAATGGAGACAGATCATGTACCAAGTGTAAAGTAAGTCACAGTTCATTTTTATATATTTTAGGAGTCAGAAAGTACCAAGGACGGTGGATTGTTATCACGGTATATGTAGATCTCATATTTTTTGCAAAACATCTATTTAATTAGCTTGTAGAAAGGGTTTTTGGGGCAAAATAACATTTTCCCAATTCCAGGGAATATTTACGCCTTTTAAATTCTGCCAGGAGGCCCCTGACAGGCGCCAGTGACTCTTCCCTTCTCAGAGATCTGCATATTTCTCGGGAAACTTTGCACTGGGAGAGTTTTCCCCCTTTGTGAAAGGTCTTGGCGCCCAGGCAGTCCCCGACTTCCCCTCCCCCAAGTCCTGGCGACTGTTTCTGCTCAGCCCTGGAGGCTACTCTCCCGCAGCCTCAGGTTTCCCTACTTCTGCATCGTCTGCACCAAGGGCTGATCAAATGTTTCTTTCTCCTTACACCGGCGGACCAGGAAACGGCGCCGCGGCCTCGCCTCCATCCTTCCTCCTACAGGTTGCAAATAAAGTACAGCAGCTCTGACATTAGGCAGTTTCTGTCCAGGTAGCAAGGCGACTTCATTTAAATTTGCACTGTGCTCCTTCATCCCTGTCTGCATCAGGTTGAACGATAGGCTCTCCGTACTACCAAACGCCTAACATTTCCTCGATACTGCCTTGAAAAATTATGATTATGACAAAAATAATAACGTCGGAGAACGGAGAGCTTGTTTTCTGCTTTGCAAGTCACCAAGCAAGAAAACACTTTTGTCTCCTTGGCTTTTATTTTAGGATCTCTGAGCAAAAGAGAGAAAGGGAATTTTACGAAATGTCATTTTCGCTTTGCCAAAGATAATTGTGTCAATAACGTTTCTCTCCCATCCCTCCCCTCCTCCCGTTTTAGAGGAAAGGTTCACGGGTCCAGCCAGGTTCTGCGGCATCCCGACACCTGGGGACATCTTTCAGGACCAGCCCGAATCGCGCCCGGGCAGGGCTCTGGACTCGGACTCCCAGCGGTGACAGCGGAGGCGGGGGCGGGGGTTGACAAACCGCAGGTCAACTCTCCGAGAAGATAGCCACCTGCCGGAACCTGCCTTCCTCCATTCCGCCCAGGAGCCTCGCAGCGGGGCGCTGGCCTGCGGAAAGGCCACGGGGGAGCGCAGGGCTCCGCGCCGCCCCCCTGGGAGGGTCCGAAGTCCAGTGCACCCCGCGCTCTGGTGCGTGACCCCGGCGGGAGACGCGGCAGGTGCGGCAGGTGCGGCAGGTGCGGCAGGAGCCTGGACTCCGACCTACCTTCACGAAGAGCTCGATCTCGGGGTCCCTGTCGTCCCCGTTAGCTGTCGCCGAGTCTGTCATGCCGTTGGCGCCCGGGGCCACCGTCCCGGGCCGGGGAGGCGCCACCTCTGCAGCGCCCGGGCCAGCACTCTGCTCTCCTGCCGCTGCCCGGTGGGGCCCTTCTTCAGGGCGCTGTTTAATTTTTCACAAAACCATCTATTTCTCCAGCCCTGGCAGCGGGGTCTGAGAGATCAGTGTCCCAGGTGCTCACAAGAAAAGGAGCGAAGCCGGGAGGAGGCAGGGGGCCACGGTAAAACCCGGGTTAAGGGGATGACAACAGGTCCTGGGAGCAACAAGTGCCGGGCTGCCCGGAGGTGTCACAGGATCCGCGACTGTCAGCGATCCCGCCGCCGCCAACGCGCCCAAAATAGCCGACGGCTGCAGGGCGGGGTCAGCCGGGCGGGGACGCAGCGGGGACACCCCGGGAGCTCCGGCCTGGGCCGGGCCACGGCCCCCGCCCCAAGACCCGGCAGGACAGGAGGCGGGGACAGAGCTGGCCCTGGCAAAGCCACATGTCCTGGGGGCTGATAATGAGGGGGAGGGAGACAGAGTCGAGGAGAAGGGGAAGGGGAAGAGGAAGGGGAAAAGGGAAGGGGAAGGAAGAGAGGAGATGGCTCTCAAGTCTTCTGTTTCTTTAATAAAGCGTCAGCTCCTCCGAGTTACTCCACTACCAGCGTTACCCACTTGGAAAGCCCTTCCTGTCTTAGCGATGCTCAGAACCCCCACCAAAAGGGGCACTTGCCATCCTTGGCCTGAGCAAAAGGAGAGTAGGTTGCCGGGGAGGGGCAGGGCCGGGGTGGCGCCTGGAGCAGAGGGGTGAGTCAACCGGGTCAGGTTCGGCTCAGGGAAGGATCCACGCCTTTCAGCCTTCTGGGTTTGTTTATTTTTCTTCCCCTTTCTTTCATTTTCTTTCTATTTCTTCCTCTATTTTCTGATCTTACTTCATTCTTGTTCTCTTCTGGTTGTTTTAGTGAAGTGGGATGCAAACACAGAAAAGATGCACATACCTTAGGTGTATGCCTCAATGAATTTTCACAATTGAACCCACCCATGTAACCAGCGCCAGAAGAAGAATAAAATGTTAGCAACACCCTTTGAAGCTCTTCCTGCTCTCTCCTCTCTACATCTTTTCTCCCTTCTCTCCTGTCCCAGGATAACCATTATTCTGGCTTGTGACAGCATAGGATCATTTTGCCTGGAATGTTGGTGTCTGGCTTCTTTCACTCATTACTATGTTTGTGAGAGTCATCCATTGTGCTATGTGTAGCTGTGTATCATCCGTTTTCACTGACACACTTATTTATTCATTTTCTGTTGATGGACATTTGTGCAGTTGACTATCATGACTATTCTGTCATGAATATTCTATCAAACATCTTTTGGTTGGATTCACAGACACTTTTCTCTTGGATGTATACTTAGGAGTGGACTTGTTGAGTTGTAGTGTATGAGAATGCTCTCCTTATGTGTACACTGCCATAGGTTTTCTAAAGTGGTTGTACCAACAGACATTCCCACCCTTCATTTCTTTAAAAAATAGTTACTGAATCTTTTGCACCAGAATCTGGTGGAATTCTCTTTGTCTTCTTTGGCTTCTCTTTAATTAATCCTGTTTGTGCTCTGTCTTGCCTTACTAAAAACATGTATTTGTTTCATAGCTTTATAAAAAAATTTCATTGCTTAATAAAAAATAAGTAATAATACTTATTATGTGCTAGACAAAAATGTTGAGCACTTTACATGTCTGAACTTGTATAATATTTACAAATAGCATAATGATCCCAATTTTACAAGTGGGGAAACTGAGACATGAATTATTTAAGTAACTTACCCCTAGTCATTCAGCTAGGAAATGGTGAAGTCAGGATTTAAACCCAGACAGACTTGAGCCTGTCCTCTCAACTGCTCTGTAAACTGCTTTTCTTAGTGCACACTATGGAAGTCACTTTGAGAAAATGAAGACATAGTTTTAACGGTCTTAACAGAGATCAAAATCCCTTTCAGAATAATAGTTATATGAAAGGAAAACTAAGGCTGCCACATGAATTGGGAAGATGAAGGAGCTATACGAGCTGTCATGTAAAGATGCTACTTACCATGGTTGGGGTGAGGAGAGGAAAAGACTTCATGGAGCCAAAGGCATTTTAGCTGAATCTTCCTGAAAGGTCAGGCATCTGATAGGCAAAGAATAGGAAAAGGTGCCCTCACTACCCTTTATGGCAGGCTGTTTCTCCACAGACTCTAGTTGCAAATTCCTCCTTCCTGAAGAAAGCAGTCACCAAGCCTAACGTGCAACCCTCTTGGTACATTACAGCTTAATGAAGGTGATGTTTAATTGCTTTCCTCCTGCTTGGTTTCAGGCTTACATCACCAAAGCCTTTAGAGAAACAGTCACCTTCACAGTTGTACATTCTGAGCCAATGACTACATACTTTAGGGAAGGACCAAGGTTACAGAGGGAGACTGGTGCCTTCACTGCATGATGCACAGACTCAAAACATCCCTGCATTGAAGTGTGGGCAATATTCTTAATGGCAGTGTGGTAGTAGCAAACAAAATTATATGCATAAAATGCCTTGAGGGTTTTTGTTTTTTGTTTTAATGAAAAATGTGTTACACGTATTTTAGATCATTTCCTTGACTATGATCTAAACAACGTGTGGTATGATTTCCCTTTCCTTAATTCCAAACCTATCAGAGTTAACTTTCATTTTAACTTCTCCAAATACCTACTGCTATTAGAAAATTGGACAGATTCCTTTCAAGAACATTTTATAGGAAATATCTCCCATTTGGACATCCCTGCAGATAATTTATAGTTTTGATATTATAAAGCTTCATGCTGCAAAAAAAAAGTTCTTCTTTGGCCATAAACTATTTCTGTGCATATTTTCTATTTTCAATTTCATATTATGCCTTAGAGCTCAAGATAAAAGGACTTTATTTTGTACCCTTTAATGTTAAAGAATAATTGGTTAGAGTCAGTTCCAGCTTTGTCCAGAGAAAAACACTATATGTCTACTTCCAGCCCATAGTTTCACAAATGTGGTGCAAGTTTTGAACAAATTTTTACCAGGAAAGTACTCTAAAAACATATTAAGTGCTCACTTTGGCAGCACATATTCTAAAACAGAAACCATACAGAGAAGATTGGCATGGCCCTAATAAAAGGGTGACATGCAAAACAGTGTAACATTCATATTTTTGTATGACTGTTGAAAGTGAAAACTATAACATATCTGATAGCATTTTTAATATATTTAGATTCAATAATATGACCACTGCAGCATAAAGGGTAAAGCGCAAGGAATTTATACAGTTGTAAGGTATATATACTTTAGTTGATATAGTAAACTCTAAGTAGCCTGAGAAAACCTAGGTGTGTGTATTGTAATCCCTAAAGAAACAGCTATATGAGTTATAAAACAAAAGTATAGTAAAAAAAAGCCAACAGATAAGCTAAAATGGAATGACAAGAAGTTTTCAAATAATCTGAAAGGCAGAAAAGAGGAAGAGAATAGAAAACTGATAATAAAATGGTACACCTAAATATAACCATATTAATACTTAAGCTAAATATAAATGGTCTAAACACGTAAATTAAAAGCTGAAGATTGTTGGATTGGATAAAAAAGCAACAAGAAGACCCAACTACATGCTGTTACAGAATTCACTTCAAACACAATGTTATTGATAAATTAAAAGTAAAAGGATGGGAAAGCCCCTGCCATAAAAAAGATTAATCAAAAGAAAACTAGCCTCTAAATTAATATAATTATTAGTAATATATAAACTTATATTAATGTAAGTCTATTAGACAAAATAGACTTCAGAAAAAGGAAATTATCAGGAATAGAGACCTTACATAATAATAATGACAAAACAGCCAGCTCACCAAGAAGATATAACAACCTTAAATGTGTATATACTTAATAACAGAGCTTCAATAATGATGAAACAATAGCTGATGGAACTGAAAGGATAAAGACAAATACAGAACTATAGTTATAGACTTCAATTCTCTTCTTTTAGTAATGTATAGCACAAGTAGACAAAAAAATCCATAAGAATATGGAATATAGAAAACCCAAACAACACTATCAAAAACCCTGACCTTATGAACATTTATGGAATATCCCACCCAAACAACAACATACTGTACACTATTTTCAAGTATATATGGAACATTTACCAAAACAGATCACATTCTGGGTCACAGAACAAACTTCATTATGTTTAAGATAATGAAATTATACAAAGCATGTTCTCTGACCATAGCAGAATCAATTAGATTAATAGCCAGAAAGATATCCAAAATGCTTCCAGTTATTTGGAAATTAAGCAACACACTTTGAGAAATTCATTGATCAACAAGGAAGTCTCAAGGATTATTTAAAAATATTTTGAATTGAATTCAAATGAGCATACAACATATCAAAATTTGTGAGATGCAGCTAAAGCAGTGCTTAGTAGAAAATTTATACATAAAACCCTTATTTTAGAAAATAATAAAGTTCTGAAATCTGTAATCTAAGCTTCCACTTTAAGAATCAAGAAAAAAGAATAGCCAGCTAAAACCAAAGCAAGCACAAGTAATAAAATGATAAATATAAAAACAGAAATTAATGAAATTGAAGAAAAAATAAAACAATAGAGAAGACCAATAATATTAGAGGCTGGTTTTTATAAAAGATCAATATAGTTGATAAATTTCTCACTAGATTTACCAAAAAACTAGAGAGAGAAGATACATTATCAATGTTAGATATGAAAGATGGGATATCAACTATGAACTACACAGATATAAACAGATAAGGGAGTACTACAAATGACTCTCTGAACATAAATTAGACCATTTAGATAAAATGGGTAAAAGACACAGACTAACAAAATTCACTCAACGAGAAGTAGATAACCTGAATAGTCCTATATTTATTAAGCATGTTAAATTCATAGTTGAAAGCCCTCCAAGAAAAGAAAACTACAGTCCCAGCTATCTTCATTAATGAATTCTACTAAACACTTTAGAAAGAATAACACCAATTCCATACAATCTCTTCCAGTAATGAGAAGAGGAGGAAGCAAAGGACTTGTATCCAGGATTTGTAAAGAATTTTTACAACTCAAAAAAGAAAAAAAAAACCCAACTAAAAAAATAGGCAAAATATCTGAGCAGATGCTTTATCCTAGAAGACTTACCAATGGCAAACACATGAAAATATGCTCAACATTCTTCAGTAGAGCAATGCAAATTAAGAGATACCACAATATACCTATTCGGACGGTTAAAATGTGCATTCATGACAACCCCATGTGTGAGCAAGAATGCAGAGCAACTGGAACTCTCATACATTGATGGTAGGAATGCAAAATTGCACAGTCGTTCTGGACAGCAGTTTGGCATTTTCATATAAAGTCAAATGTACACTTACTATATGGCTCACTTGCCATCTCTTGGTATTATCCAAGAGAAATGAAAATTATGTTTACATAAAACCTTGGCACATACATTTTTTTACAAAAGTATTATTCATAATTGCCCCAAACTGGAAACATCCCCAAATATTCCTCAATGGGTAAATGAATAAATAAATGGTGATAACATTTATACAATGGTATATCACTTAGTGATAAAAACGAATGAACTATTAATTGGTGCAAAACACAGGTAAATTTCAAATGCCCCATACTAAGCGAAAAAGAAAAACAGTCTCAAAAGGTTACTTACTGTATGGTTTCATTTACATGCCATTCTAGAAAATAAAAAAATTATAGGGATGGAGAGAAGACCAGTGGCTGCCAGGGATGGGGATAGAGGAGGGTTTGATTACAAAGAGGCAGCTTTCAGCTGATAGAACTGCTTTGCATCCTGTTTGTGTTGGTGGTTACACACATCTCTGTATGTGTTAAAATATACATAACTACACACCAAAAAGGTGAATTTTCTGTATGCAAATGTTAAAAATGATCAAAATGCTTAAATAATTTCCAAAAAGGTAAAGCCATCAGATTCTATTGCCATACCCACTTTCCACACAGTCTTTGCTTCAAATCTGTAACATCAGACCTTCTCTTACCATTAATTTCAGAAATGTAAAACAGATTTGTATTTTATGAGATGTAGTGCTTCTAATTAAGCTGATCAATAAAATAAAGTGAACTTTCATTGAAATAACAAATAAAACAAAATAAACATATTTAGAGAGTGTATTTGTGTGTGTGTTATGAAATGACATGTACTGTAAAATAATGATGATGTTTATGGGGAGATTTTTCAGAAAATGCTCACCTTACCCACTGCTAGAGTGCAATCACATTATTAGTCACAAGTTCCAGCTTTTACCTACCTAGCAGTATTCAGTTGAACCCATTCACTATACCCAGGGTAGCAGCTATTTCCATGGGAATTAAACAATTTGCATTCTCTGCAGGGAATCTCCCAGACAATCTCAAGGACTTGAGGTTTAAGCAGGAAGATTTCGATGACAGCTTCAGAAAGACATTATGTCTTTGTGGGAGGACCACATGGGTGTAGATGAAGGGAGGTGAGACCTAGAGGGATCACACCTGCATGAGGTCACAGATTGGGCTATGAGGGGGATTGAGGTGAGTTGCTAGTTCTATTTCTTTATAACCTAAGGTGTCCTTGTGTATGGCCAACATGATCAATGATCTTGGCTCTCACTGTAGTCTGTCTATTGCTGCTTAGCAAAGGCAGAGGCCTGGGAGTGAACTGGACTGAAGTCAAGAGTCCTTGTCAACAACCATCACTCATCCCACTGATTCACTCATTACTCATTCCTTCAACCAGTGTTTTGGGGGTGTCTACTATGTGCCAGACACTGCTCATACTCATTCTAGAACCCCCTGAGAACATACAGTGTGCATACCACCTTCTGATGATGAGCAGTCTTAGTTTCTGTATTATTCCTTCCTGGATTGTTATGGCTTTTCCACAGGAGTGGAAGCTTCTTGATGACAGGAATCCAGTTTTGTGTTTCTTTTGCAAGACCCACAGGATATAATGGTCCCTTGCTATATACTTATAAGCAGGCAAATATGCCCCGTAGAGTGCACATGTTCAATAAATAATTGTTAATGGAATCAATGAATGAATAACCAGCACTTCTATTTGCGGTCTCCTCCATCTGGGATTTTGACCTTCCATCAGTGAAATGGACACTACAGTGTGGAGTTTTTATAAAGACTCTAATTTGAACTGAAACATATGAAAGAGTTAGGTCATAATAATAATACTTAACATTTGCTTAACGGTCACCATGTGTTGGGAGCTCTGAAGTCCTTATTAGCTCACTTCATTTCTATAATAATCCTATGAGGTAGTGTTATTAATCCCATCTCACAAATAAAGAAGCAAAAACTTAAAAAGGGTAAGTAATGTATCCAAGGTCATGTGGATAGTTATAAACAACAGAGCTGGGACTCCCTCCATTGCTAACGCCCATATTATTAACCACAGGATGTGGTTGGAGAAGTTCGTGATGCTACTAGAAATTTAGAAATTGCTTACTGAATTGGTGGAATAAGTAAATGACTAGTCTTGGATAAGTAATGGCTAAGGTTAGGGATTTTGGATTTCTCCTTTACTCTGCTTAAACTAAGAGACACCCAGAGGTGAAATTAAAAAGGAAACATAGGGCCCAAGAGATAGCACACAAAAATTAAAAAATACCCAGCCCTAGGAAACGGAAGTTATGGGAGCCAAAGGGCAGGAGAAAAGTGATCTGAGGTCATCTTCTGTTGCATCATCATGCATTTTTGGCAGGATTTACTGCTCTGGTGATTGTCCTCACTTAATAGCCAAGGTCCTACTTTGCTCTGGCAAGATCACCTTAAAAATACAACTATTACACAAATACTTTTTAAAGATTCTTGGACAGAGTCCAAGGTAAATACATGTAACAAAATTCCAAAAAAAATCCACCCACAACTGTCACCTAGTATTACTCTGATCTACACATCTGATTTTCTTTTGGCGAACAGTACATCTTGCTAATTGACCAGTAATGGTCTTTAATAACTCAAAAAAGGGAATACTATTAAACAGAGCAAGGGTTGGGGGAAAAGCAGGGTGAGGGACATGGGTCACCTTGGAAGCCAGGAGCTGCATCGGTGGGAGTAGAATGAAGAATATTTTGAGGGGATTGGGCAAACACCCATGACCCCACAGATTAAAGTTTTGAAAA